CTTATTTCGTGCTAAGGCATTATAACCTTTGTAAACATGAATGATAAACAAAGAGAAAACTTTAAAATCCGAAAAGGGTAGAAAAGCTATATAATATATATATATATATATATATATATATATATATATATATATATATTTATCGGTCGGATACAAAAAATTTACAAAGGCCTAAGGGCTAATTTCACTCCGAGTTCGAGAAACAATTCAGCTATGCTTGCGTGTTCTTATTCTCTGTCTTAAATCTAGGATGAATTATCTTTGGCTAGGATTTACCTCAAATTTTCCTAAATTTTAACTATTAAATAAATAATTACGACTAATCGTAAGAGGAACTATGTCAACTTTGGTGGAAGCAAAACGACTTTTATATAGAAGCTGGCAGCATCTTTTTGGATCGAATGGGCTTTTGTGATAAATGGCGGAATTTGATACATGTTTTTGAAGTTCCATTCTTTCCTAGCGGGGCAAAACCTCTGCCTTAAGGAAAAGTGTATAACCCCAAGGCTACGAACCAAAAAAGAGAGGCTAGGTCTCAATCAATAAAAAGAAAAACAAAAAGTCTTAGCCCACACTAAAATGATAGATAGAAAAGGTGGGAGAGGGGCTGAGGGACGGCAAAGCTATAAAAACAAAAACTAGATCAATGCAAAATTACTAACAGGATGTTATGTGAATTGTGAACTAATGCTACGACTTGAAGGGATAAGATTGATTAGAATTCTCTAGTAAGACAGAATAACAACTTGTTCCAAAAATAAAGGGTGATAACTTTTTAGAAAAGAATTCGAACTATCATTTTCTCTTATTAATTAGTTGAAAATAATAATAAGTGAACGAAGCGGTGAAGGTGAGAAAAAATTCTATTAACTTTTTTCTGTTGTAAAATAATAGTAAAGAGAAGAACAAAGAAAATTAAATTCTCAAGAATATAATTGGAGAAAAACCTCATATTTATGGAAGAAGAACACCTTATTTCCCAAGAAAAAAATACTAACTTCTAGGAAAAGAATTCAAATTACTACATAATTTCTTTAACGAACAACCAGAAAACTTATTATCTGTAACATCTTCTTCTTTATTTTCTTTAATAAAATATTTTTGTTTCGTGAAGCTTAAAATTGTTAGCACACAATATAAAAATTGAGTCACAGCCAAAAAATGTGGTACAGTAGATGAGATAGCCCTTACTTTAGCCAGATATTTCGAGTTCGAGCTTTAGATATGAAAAAATCTATAGTAGGGAGCGCTTTCCTAAATGGGTTCTTACGCGATACAAAAATATAGTCGAGTTACAATATGGATGATTCAGTTTTTATTTGTTCGGTTGTGCCAAATCATTTCTTTTTTGAACATTCAAAACTTAAATTAAAAAAAATCCCTTAACCAATATTAATTCGGGTGTAATGTTTTCTTTTTAAATCACTACACGCGAGTAAATATTTTTTTAGCCCTATATATAGAATTATAGAACCAAAGCTAATAGAATTCCACTACTTTTTCTCTCTCTACCGTCTGCTTTATTTCTCTCGTTTAACAATCCTAGGGTTTGCGTTTTTGTTTGTTCTGTTCAATCGACTATGTCTACTTCAAAGATGATTGTGTTGAAGAGTTCCGACGGCGAAACTTTCGAGGTGGAAGAGGCGGTGGCGTTGGAATCACAGACCATAAAGCACATGATCGAAGACGATTGTGCTGATACCAGTATCCCTCTCCCTAATGTTACAAGCAAGATCTTGGCTAAGGTTATTGAGTACTGTAAGCGCCACGTCGATGCTGTTGCTAAGACTGATGATAAAGCCTCTGAGGATGATTTGAAAAGCTTTGATGCTGACTTTGTCAAAGTTGATCAGGCTACTCTCTTTGATCTTATCTTGGTATAAAAAATTTAACTTTTTTTTTTGTAATGATTGTGTTTGCTATAAATTGTTTTTCTTGCTTTTGTTGTCTTTGACTTATTAGTTGAAGTACTTTATTTGCCTGATTTTATGTTCAGCGGTTTTCCGCTGTTATATGTTTATGTGCTGCTTTATAATTTCTGCTTCTATTGGTTGTGTCTTGGGTTATTGCTGTTATTTGATGGGCTAATTATTGCTCCCTATGTCCCAATTTTTTGGAAAGATTTCGGATCTTGAGCATGAAATTTCTCAATTTTGACCACAAATTTGGGCATAGAATCTTAATTTGTTTGAAACTTCACCAAAAGTTCTAAGTCATACAATAACTAATAGTTATTAAAGTATTTAAAAGGCATATGATAACTCGTTTGGCTCTCAAAATTCAAAATGCATCAAACAAATTGGAATGGACGGAGTATGAAATAGTTGTGGAGGAACTTGGTCATTTTGATGTTAAACATTGACTCAACTACATGTGTTGAACAGAATCTACAATTAATCAATTGTTTTGGCATTGTAAAGCTGTACATAAAGTACAGGGGTAATCATAGGTCTCCCACAAAGTTTAGGCACGTTCTTATTCGTGTATTATCCTTTCTGTTCTGTACGTGTTATTTCCATTGTTCAGTATTCAGGGCATTTTGAACCCCATTTGGTGGCTGATTGGATATCATGTTGTCTAGTTTTAATCTAGTACTCTCATATTTTATACTTCCCAAACTTTTTGACACAGTCATTTCTCTTTACCACTTTCATAATTATTAAAATCCAAATCCAAACTATTCAAATTTTAAAGTTTGATGTGATGTTTACACTGTCAGACTAGCTTTTTAACAATTAGTTCATATATTCTTCCACTGTCACTAACACTTCCTTATTTGATATGTAAGTTAAATTAAATTCTCAAACAATGAGATAGAAGAGCTGCATATGAACTGGTCTGGATCCCTAATTCGTCTAAGTTGGTCGTTTGAATCCTTTGTTTTATTTTTCTTGTTTCTTTTGACCGGTGCAAGGACCTTCTACATTATCTACCTAGCATTTGTTCTTTATGTTTGGTAACCTTTCCTTGAGGTTTAATAAGCATTGCCGTTGTAACTTTCAGGCTGCTAACTATTTGAACATCAAGAGTCTGCTTGATCTCACTTGTCAGACTGTGGCGGACATGATCAAGGGGAAAACTCCGGAGGAGATCCGCAAGACCTTCAACATCAAGAATGACTTCACACCTGAGGAAGAGGAGGAAGTTAGGAGGGAGAATGCCTGGGCCTTTGAGTGAATCTGATGTCTATTAAGTTTCCGTATTCTGGTGATAGATTTGAATATATTAGTAGATGCTATTAAGAATCTCGTATATTAGTAATAGATATGTCGTGCTGTTTGTTTGGTACTTTTTAACATCGTTGTTCAACCAAGACAGTTAACCTCTTTTTGCTATATATATTTACTTGGTTTATCTTTAGAGTATTAGATAGTTTCAAAATTGAAATGCTTTTGAATCGTGTTAAATCTGTTACATCTTTGTTGGTATATTGCTGGTTGTTTGTTCTTAGTGTTATCGTTTTAAGTGGTCCTTTGAATTGGTGGATTATTATCTCGGAAACAGGCGGTGTTTGGTCCTTAAGTGGTAAAATATGCTTGAGGATGGTTTGGTTTATCCAAGATTCTTTTGAGCTTGAATTTTGATGGTGCAATTGTTGTATGCATTTAAGAGATTGATCTCAAAATCATACTTCTTTAATTTAGTGGGGTTGGATATGACTTATAGAATAGATCCTTGATCAAAAAATAGCTATGAGACGATTGATTGAACCTGTTGTTGTTGGGTGCTTGTTTTTATGACATTATAGTTAATTGTTTACTTGGGAGATATTATACTTTATTAGTTGGATGATTTGGAGATAAAAGTAGCATGCTTGATGAATGTTATCATTGGTAGCAGAAGTTAAGGAGGACAGGATTGGTTATACAATTCTTCGATCTTTAAGGTTACCACAATAAAGTGTTTGATGACATGATTATTTGGAGTGGCAAACACCCAGCATGTAGTTTAAGGTTCAAAGTGATTGTTCTTTTGCAGGTATAAGATTTAGAAGTGATGCAACCTCTGTTCTTCCTGTGAAAATTATTGAGCAAACAAACTCCTTATGGGAAAATAAGGAGAGTTGGTAAATCTGTGTCTATCAACTGTGTTTTGATTTGACCAGATTAAGAGCCAACTTTTTGAATTGAGTAGTTTGAAAAACAACCTAAAACCAATTGTGTTTGCTTTTGGAAGTTTGGGATCATCAAATATTCTTGGATTACATGCGAAGAGGACTGATTTGGTCGACGGGCTTTAGAGTTCATGTTCAGCGTTATTATTCCATTTCACAAAAGCACAAACAAACTACCCTCCGGCAGGGGAAAGGTCTGCGTACAAACTACCCTCATTAGTGAGATTTTACTGGGTTGTTGTTATTCACAAAAGCGCAAACAAACGTGAAAGGAGCAACTATGATGTTCAGCATTATTATTCTATTTCACTTTTCCCCGGCCAATTTGACTCATTCTATGGAGCAATCTATGACTAGATTGAGGTGTTAACACAAATAAAATAAAGATTTGAAACCACATGGCCTCTATAACTTATCAATTAGCTTATCAAAAAATGAAAAGGTATATTGAATCTCCCATCCCATCAGTCTAAACTTTAGGTGGATACGTGAACACCACCATTAAAAGAAAAATCTTGAATAGTTAATCAAGTTACAAGATAAGCACTAATCTTGTTTTAAATTATATTTTGATGCAAAATGAAACAGACAAGTAACAAACTTTTTTTATTTCATTTTTTAATTCAAGACCGATCCATTCTACAGAGAAGCTAAGAAAATAATCCTACAAAGATATGACATTACCGATGTTGTATTAATCTCTTATGAGAATGCCCATATATAAGAGTAAAAGAACATTTGTAATATTTGGAGTATAAAAGAAAGAACAAAATAATAACCTTTTAAACTCACTCTTTCTGCATTGTTTTTGATATACTTTATTTTTTTTAACAGAAAGCGAAAGGTGGTTGTTTAAAAGCTACAAAGAAAACCCGGGAAATTGGATAACCGATTGAGTAGTGAATGGTCCAAGTGTGATAACAGGTCGTTACTACTCCCCTATATGCTTTTATTCTCCTTCTCATTCTTCCCCTTTATCTTCACAGCTCCTTCACTCTGTTGTTGTGTATTTGCTATCTCAACAATGGCGGAAGATCATCCATTGTTGGGGAATCGCGCCATGGAAATAGAACAAACGGAGAGTGGAGGCGAAGCAGTAGCAGCAACAAAGAAGAAGAAAGCTAAACCTGCTCGTGTTGCTTCCCTCGATGTATTTCGTGGCCTCTGCGTTTTGGTAAAAGCTTTTCATTGCCTTTTTCTCACTGAATTTAGAAAAAATAGTTATAACTTGAACCATGTTCTGTCTAAAAGTTTACGTGAGATGGTCAAGCAAAGCATGCAACAGGTCATCTAACGTCTTTCTCACTTTGATACTTTCTTCTGCATGTTTATCTTTCTGTTTTGAAAAATTTTAATCTTAAAAGTTCGAGTGCATTTTTGTGAAAGTGCTATTCTTGATGTATTTTGGGTTTTCGGAAGTATCGAAGCATTGAAGGGGAGCCTTGGCGTAAGTAGTAAATTTGCTGCTATGTGACCAGGAGATCACGGGTTCAACTGTGGAAACAGCCTCTTGCAAATATGCAAGGCAAGGCTGTGTACAATAGAGCTTTGTGGTCCGGCCCTTTCCCGACCCCGCACATAGCGGGAGCTTAGTGCACCGGGCTGCCCTTGGAAGTATCGAGGCATTAAATGTTACGCTTCGTCCCCCCCCCCCCGCTTGTGTAGTTGTGTTTGTGTTTTAGTTTACATTTATAGTGTTTATTTTTCCTTCAAAATTTTCATTTCCTTTTACTCCAATTGAATGTTGATACAAAAAGAGAAGTATTGAAAAGAAATCTTGATAATGCAAATATAGAGGCAGTGATTGAGCGGAATCTATGTTTATTTTTTAATGACCATAATCCTTGCTCAAGAGGTTCTTTGTTCTACTTTTAGGTACTGTTTTGCTGATACTGTAATCTCTATCCTTTATTAGGGTTAACTTTCACTAAATAATCAACTTTTTTGACTTTAATTTGTTCACTGATTCAGCTTATGATGCTTGTGGACTATGGTGGCTCTATTTTCCCAAGTATTGCTCATTCCCCGTGGAATGGTGTACGCTTGGCAGATTTTGTGATGCCATTCTTCCTTTTTATTTCTGGAATTTCCCTTGCAATAGCATATAAGGTATCTACTCTCAGATTTCATATTAGACATACCTATAATCTAGTTGTTCTACTTTAGGCTTAATGCGTAGTTTTCTTTATTAAAATAAAAGGCTTATAATGCATAGCCGTTGGACTTGATAAGTGATGTACCATTTTATGTATAGTCAACCATCTGAGGCTAACTATATTATGCATATCACTAGTTGAATTCCACTATTCGCAGTTAGTAAATCTTTCCTATTTCCAAATTTGCAGAAAGTTTTAGACAGAGAAGGAGCCACTTTGAAAGCTGTGTTTAGGATGTTGAAACTTTTCCTCCTCGGTGTTTTTCTTCAAGGTAATCTTACTAGCTTGTATCAACTGCACTGGATATAGTTTTCCACTTGTGATCTCAACTTGTTTAAAACTTTCTGCAACTACAGTCTTGTAATGCGTTTTGATATGGATCTTGTACATCCTAAATATTACTATAGCGAATAAATGTGTTATTTTGGGGCACAACAAGGTCGAAACTCTGCATTTACAAGTGAAAGGAGCTCAATAACGGAAGAGTTTGTGTATTGCATTAAGCAATTGCCTATAACAAAAAGCTTTCAGAATCAACAGCAAACAGCATGAGCAAGAGAGGGCTGGAATAAACTAGACTATTATTAATGAAGAACGTCAGTAGACACATTTTTAGATCGCATGAGAATCTAAAAATGCTACTAGGGACTTGACTATTAGAATCGGTACAGTTTGGTGTTTTACCGGATAAGCGATGCTCCATAAGTAGACATTGTTTAGCAAACAGAGGCCTTAGAAAGTAAAGACACCACCAGAAGAAAAACAATTTTTAGTAGCAGGTAGACTATCAAGTAACTTAGTTTCCAATTATACATTTGTTCTAATATTCTAATTGCTGGATCCTTCATTTTTCTTTCAGTCTGGTGGCATCTTCTTGTTTTCTTCTTGATGAGTTGTCTGTAGGCTTCTGCCTTCGTTATCTCTATCCTCATTTTTCTGCATTAATGCATTTGACTTATCATCAATTCATGGTTATTTTTATTTCAGGAGGTTACTTGCACGGGATAACGGGGTTGACCTATGGTGTAGACATTGAAAAAATGCGATGGCTGGGAATTCTGCAGGTACTCTTGTTTGCGTTTTACTTGTTATTTATCCATCAGATTACTAGAAAGCTACAACTACCTGGCGTTGCCATTTACATACTAGTCGTAACTTGGTATGTGAGATTTTGTAGAGATTGGTCTTATCATGTTTGAAAACTCTGTAATCTCTGGCCGACAGGCTACAGGCAGTAGAAATGTAGAATAGGTTAGAAGGAACAAGCTATGCATGCAAGCAGTAACTTATATTTGTTATCATAGATACTAATCCTTTTTTGGTTATACAGAGAATAGCTGTTGGATATATCATAGCAGCTTTGTGCGAGATATGGCTTCCACGTCGAAGGATAAAAAGAAGTATTTTCAGTAATTACATTTGGCAGTGGTAAGATGACTTTGCCTAATATGATAATAGAGATTTTTGATTGGAAACCTAACATCAGTTGTTATAATATTTTTCAACACAGAGAACTTCTTGATCGCGCACTTTTTGTGTGTGTGTATGTGTTCTGAAGGTACTATTAGATCTACTTAAAACTGGAGTCCAGATTACTGTCAAATCTTCTCAATGCATTTCAATTCGTTTTGATGAATGGTTTGCGGTGATATAAACTGACAGCTTTCACTATTTCATGTGTATACTGTAAGCGGTTTGATTCATTTTCTCAGTGGAAGCATAATATCATAACGTTATGCTTTCTGAGAAGTTCATTGAACATGTGGAATGTCGCAAGTCCTCCACCTAATTATTTGCATTAGGCCTTATTAGCTACTAATAGTTTGATAACATACAAGAAGAAATTTTGGAAGTTTTAAGAGTTACAACTATTGCAGTCCAACTGCAGTCATATTGACAAATAATTATCCACTACCCCGACAAAAGTCGTTCTCATATTTTTAAATACTCACACTCTCCTGATAAACAAACCCAAAGTGAAAAGGTGGAATAACTAGTCGCTACTAAGTCAAATGACATCAGGTTTGAATTATTGGAAGGTGAATAGATTTTGTTCTATGAAATTGGTCAAATTTATAGGATGGACCAAAAAGAGGAATAGATATTATGTATGCTTGTGTAATTGCTTTGTGTTTAGTTGTTATGTAATGATGTCTTTTAAAACCTCTGTTTATAGGTGTGTTGCATTTTATCTGTGTGCTGTACATACTTGGTTGTTATATGGTTTGTATGTACCTGATTGGGAATTTACTGTGTCACGGACAACAGACCTCAGCATCTACAAGGTTAGCGTTTGTTTTCTTTTCGTTTGCTCCTTATCTTTGCTGCATTCTGAAGACAAGGTCAAGTTTCAAACAACATGGCAAAATTCGACAGAAGCTTAAGGATGAGAGCGAACTGTCATAACTACATTGTTTGTTATTGGCACTAAGCATGTAATAACTCCCGTAATTATCCTGTAGAAGTATTGTAACATGTGTTTGTTTTCATTCAATAAAATAGTATACCATTGGCAGGTAAAATGTTCTGTTAGAGGTGATCTTGGACCTGCATGTAATTCTGCTGGAATGATTGATCGATTTATTCTTGGAATAGATCACCTATACACAAAGCCTGTATATAGAAATCTAAAGGTAACTGTATACTTTGCTTAACTTCTCAAACTAGCCGGTCTATAACTCACAGCTTTTCCCTCCGAACTTATATTGATTCACAGGAATGCAAGGGATTCAATGATGACAGAATTCCGCAGAGTTTCCCTTCGTGGTGCCATGCCCCTTTTGAACCAGAAGGCATATTAGGGTAGCATTTCTGTCCTTAAACATTCTCCTGTGATCCTACCTTTGCTAATAGAGGCATTCTTACAAGTGCACATCTTTGCCCGTGACACCTCTTTTTTCCATCTATAATCTCTTTACAGTTCCGTAACAGCTGCCGTTGCCTGCATTATTGGACTCCAATATGGCCATATTCTCGTTCAATTTCAGGTGACCTATGCGGTATCGTTAGTTGTCTTATTGATGCATTGTGAACGTAGAAGAAGTCCTTTTGAAAAAAGTCAGGGAAATGCCTTTAAGGTCTGCGACAATTGAATAACACTTTTCTTTTGGTTTTGCTTCCATTAGTATGCTCCTTGCTGATGTAGTTTCTACTACTTGACAAACTTTTCCCAATATTAGTTTGACATATTTTAAAAGAACTGCTACAAGAATAATGGTTTCACTATCATATTGTAAGTATGTATTTCTTTAGTGGTAGTAGAATTTTAGCATTAAAAAGTAAGCCATATCAAATAGCAGTATATATTCTGAACGAAGAGAACTATTAATGTTCATTGATGCATATTCACATGCGCAGAATTATATTGCCCGTTAAGTTACTCTATTCATTGTATGATCAATTGATGTCTTTCTGTTAACTGTGTTCAGGATCATAAAGAAAGGCTATACAACTGGTCCATCCTCTCATTTCCACTTCTGTTTCTTGGTTTCTTCCTTGCTGTGACAGGTATATCTATCTATTCTTTTTCAAGTACTAAGTCAAATCCCTTTCGTTCACACGGACAAACTATAACACCTTGGTTGCTATTTATGATAAATAATCTCTAACTTTTCTTTTTGTTTTTCTTTTTCCCTTAAACAAAATTTAGAAAACCATAACATACAAGCCCCTACGTTGAATAATTGTAACTTTTCTTACAAGAAACAAACATTTTTCCAGTTGTCCCATACAAAGTATAGATTCTGATTTCATTCCATGTTTCCAGTTGTGATTCCTATTTCTATGGAACATCAGATTATCAATTTGAGGCGTTAACAAATTGGCTGTAGTCCTTGTGACATGTGAGGTTGGTGTTACTTTTCTTTTCAGGCGTGCCATTCAACAAATCGTTGTACACCATTAGTTATCTGCTGGTAACTTCAGCCGCTGCTGGAATCACATTTTGTTTACTGTATGTACTGGTGAGTTTTGAAACTATAAGTCGTCCTTGCTCGGATAAACAACTTTTTAGTTGCATCACTTGTAGTTTAGCTCTACAAGCGAAAAATGTCAGTACTTTATTTTATTGATCATATATATATTTAACTCAGTTGAGAGTCATACTGATGCTATATGGTTTAGGTCGATATGTATGGTTGGAGGCGCTTGATGTTCGCGTTAGAGTGGATGGGGAAGCATTCTCTTGGTATCTTTATTCTCATAATATCAAATGTAGCTGTCATTTTGATTCAAGGATTCTATTGGAGGGATCCTCACAATAACATAGTAAGGTCCATCTAATTTCAATGAGAATAATGTCTATGGCCTCAAATTTTCAACTTGGAGAGATGAAAATAATCCTTGCCTCTTTTTGCTGCGTTCTCTTGAATAGGTTCGCTGGATTGTCACGCGATGTGTACAAAAATGATATGCCAGCTTCTTGAGTTCCTGCATAGTATAGACTGTAAGGCTGTTACTATAACTACACTTTATTTGCTGCTCTTACCCTGCACAAGGTCGCAACTCGCACAGTGGTGGAGCCACATGCGCTCAAGGGGTTGGAAAATTACACTGTTTAGCTTGGTAATTTTAGAAATAATATGTTTATATACTATATACTAAACGAAGGGATCAGGGCTGCATTGGGACTTGTATGACCCCTCTTGGCCATACTGGCTCTGATGGTAATGCAGCTGCTTCGACCTATCTCCTGATTCCAGTACTCAGAGGCAAATTCAGGATTTAATGTTTATGGGTTCCTGCAAAGACCTCGAGTAAACTGGTTTCACATTGTAACATTTATAGATATTTAGTAAATTTTTCAAACACATTTTACACTGTTTGGACAAAATTTACTGGGTCCATATGAAACCGTAGGTGGGGAGGTGGATCCGCCCCTGCCTGTACTTCTACCTGTGTGTAGATGTTGATTGGAACTCTGCACAAGTCTCTACCTGTGCGTAGACGTTGATTGAAACTCTGCACAAGTTTATAATATTCGACTAAAAGACGCTTAAATTGAGTGACATGGAAAGTAATACTAATTCATATAGCTGATTCCGACTTGCTTGAGATTGAGGTGTGGTCGTTGGTGCTTGTAGTTCATCATTCATTAGAAAATCTTATCTTTTCCGTTTTCTATCAACTCTGTTGTAAAGTTATATTTCTTGGATTTCTCATCATTTTAGTATTTTATAAAGAGTCCATCAATATGAGCTCTTTAAAGTGTAGGTAATTCCAGTTCTAAATAAAAGGAAGAGGCTCACATATTAATTATTCATCGTTCTTTAGAAAAAACTAAGATGCTCGTTTTATCATTGTTTTCTTAGACACAAATACGCAATCATATGATGAGAGGAATCAGAGGCGGATTCAGAATTTAAAACCCTATGAATTCAACTTTTAAAGTTTTTAGCATTGAACTCATTATATATTTTTACAGTTATGGGTTCATATCTACTATTTTTGGAATTTTAATGAATTTTTATACACAATTTTTTACTCCGCGTCGATAGTTATGTATTCAGTTGAACCTACCGGTAGAAGACTACATCCGCCTCTGAGAGGAACTAAAATCGTTTTCATAGATCAAGTCTTCTTGCAAGTTGCAAGCATCACATGTCACAATTATGAAACTCTAATTATCTGAATAATAGATGCCAAGAAATATGATCCTGATACTTTGTACTAACAGCAATTATTATCACCTTTTCTCCAATTACATACAAATGGAAGATTATATAAAAATTCAGTATTGTCTCGACAATTATATATATATATTTATATAATAAATATGCCAAATCCTTAATTGCAGTTTCTGACTCTCTTTTTGGAATACATATCATATATTTCAAGTATCAATCTAACACGTATGAACCTCATTTGATGAAATTGCATATGGTCGAGGTGTTAATGTCTTGTTTTGCCCAAAAAGATTTGGTCGAGGCAGAGAGATATGTTTGTTTGCATGTTCCATTTTCTTAATTCATATGGGCAAGTGGGCAAGAACATGCCCTGTCTTTTCAAGAATCAAAATGCCAGAATATCCCAGATATTCCACATACATAAGACAACATATTTCAAGAAACTATAGAATATAACACTATTTTTAAAAGAAAATCTAGTTCTTTTCATGAAGATGGGTGATGCCATCAAAACTTACACAAATGTCCCAAATAAATCTCAACTTACCAACCTCTAGCCATTTGTCATAGACTTACCAAAACTAGCCAATAAAAATTGAAAAACCAAATAATAGGGTCCTTTCTCCCAAAGAATCACATGCAAAAATCACCTTCCATATTTTTAAGCGTGATTAGCAACATTAGATACAAGACGGAAAGGAAATTTTATGGACGGGGTAGCAAATAAGGTGATGAAATACAAAAATCTCTACAATATTCCAAAAATCTAAACAAAAAGGAACTTTTTTAATGGGTATAATTGAAATTCATTGAAAATATATAGATAAGTCAATATACAAAATTTGAGGAAGATTGGAGGTGATTTGGACTGGTTTTGTATCAAAATTCGTAATTAAATCGAGTTCAAAAAAGTCTTCTGCGACACATGTATCACGTATGTATCTCACTCACAGGTATACATGGATATACATGTGATACACAATTGATACAAATATGATACATATATGATACACAAATGATACACAGTGTGATACACATATCATTTTTTTTTCATGTTCAGCTTTTACTTCGAATTTTCAATTCAAACCACCTCAAAACTTCACCAAATCATCCCAAAACTGAGATTCAAGCTCCTTAAGTTGTGCCCAATCTATTCTAATAACAACCACTCAAAACAAAGCAAAAATTTGATATTTTTTGGCTACAAATAGCTAATTGGCTAATTTGGCTAATATTAGTAATATTTTATCAATTGGCCAATTTTTATAATGAGCTACTTATAAATGGACATAGCTAGCATCCGGTATTCGTACTATATTGGGGGCGATTAATTTGGATTCACGCTGCGTAAGATCCATTAAAGAGAAAAATAAGCATTACTATATTTTTTTTTTACTCGTTCAAATCTGAAAGCTACAGTTAATTGTGAAGGTATCTTATTCATCTTGCCACAATCATGTAATAATAATGTCATTATTGATTTGCCTAACCTAAGTGATAGAGTTATGTGCAGATAATTTTATCCATGGTCATTGAACTTCTGTGTTTGTTACCCAAAAGTTACTTTTTTTTTTTGTTACGTAAAAATCATTCAACTTTGTGTTCATTACACAAAAGTCACTTTTCTTTCTTTTGTTACACAAAAATTATTTTACTTTGCTCTAGTTATCCCAAAAGTCATATTTTTACTTGAAAAGTCTATTATGCCCTTGATATTATATTCATATTTATTTTATTTATAAATAAAATAACTTAATATTATTTATTTATTACTTTTTATAATATATTCGTATATTTAATTTTTTCTTAACTTCAATTTTCAAGATATATTAGTAGCGTTATAAAATAACTTTTTTCTTTTTTTGAATTTAATTGACCAACCAATTACCGACCAACTTTGGTCGGTATGCTCCTTACGACCTTCAAAATACCGACCACACGTTAATGGCCACGTTTTGGACAAGTATTGGCCATTACCGACCAACTTTGGTCGATTTTTTTGAATGTTTTTTCCCGAATTTCTAGTAATGTAATTTCCCAAATTACCAATTGCCTAGGTAAATCCTCAAGAAAAATATCCCCAACTAAATTCTCATGTAGTACCTAGGGATTTTCCTTCAGATTAACATATGATTTTTTCCCTCATTTTTTGTTTGTTTGTTTACCTGCGAATTTTCTCACGGAAATGTACTTGCCGATTTATTTCTCTACTAATATATATTAAAGTTACTGACAAATTTAATAACGCTACTAATATATATTGAAAATTAACGTTAAGAAAAAATTAAATTAACGAATATATTATAAAAATAAAAAATAAAATAATATTAAGTTATTTTATTTATAAATAAAATACATAGTTAAAAATATATTATATAGTATGTAATATAAAAGTTATTACATAAATATGAAGGTTTATATAATATCAAGGGCATAATAGACTTTTCAAGTAAAAATATGACTTTTGTGATAACTAGAGCAAAGTAAAATAATTTTTGTGTAACAAAAGAAAGAAAAGTGACTTTTGTGTAATGAACACAAAGTTGAATGATTTTACGTAACAAAAAAAAAGTAATTTTTGGGTAACAAACACAAAAGTTCAATGAGCATGGATAAAATTAGCTATCAAAAAACACGATTCACCATTCTACTAAAAACAATGTTGGGGACATTACCCTCGTCTTCAGATGACCTAGCGTTGTTTAAACGTAGAATTCTTGTGTTGACATGCCATCAAGTTGCGTAATATAATATACTAAAATTGAGTGATTAAAAGACAAGAGTGGGTTTGAGCACCCTTCACTCCAACCAATAGGCTGTGAGTTTGAGTCACCCCAAAAGCGAGCAAGGTGGGAGGTTCCTGGCGGGAGGAAAATAAAAGGAGTGATTAAAAGATGCTACAAAAGTAAAAAGCAAATAAATAAATAATTGGATGCCATATGGCATTTGACGCATATGGTTGAGTATAAAATATTTGCCCTATGACAGGTTACTGATCTTTAAATTGTGTAAGAGTAAGTTATATAAGCAAAAATATACTTATTAAAAAAATTATACTTTAGCTGTAACATAATCGGTTATAGCATATTGAATTCTATTTTAGCATGCCTGGGTACATATCATTATAAGTCTACTCAACTTAATAGTGTTATATTAATACGCCAATTAAAAATTCATAGTCTATTAACGTAAAGGATCCAAATTACAGACACAAACAATGTAAAAACACTCTTACACTATCTCGAACTCATTTAACTTTACCCTCGTGGATAGTGTAAATAATTCACCAGTATCATTAGCAAACCGATTATAATGGATTTGTACTTTATTTTTTAAATTACTATAGCAAGCTTGAGTGGGCGCCGCAAAATGTTGCCCTGATGAAAGGATATAGTAGGCGTTTGGATATAAAAATTATAATTTTTAAAAAATAATATTTAAAGTTAAGTTGAAAAATAATATTTAAAATTTAAAATTATGTTTAGACATGCATTTCACTTGAAATATTGTAGTTTTATTAGTTGAGAAAAAAGTTTTTTCGAAAAGTGATTAAAACCACTTTTTGGTTATGAAAATTTATTTTCAGAAAAATCCAAATTTTATGGACAAACATATTTTAAAGAAAAAAAGTCAAATTTTTATTTTTATTTTTTATTTTTATGGATGAACGGGTCCATAGTATGGGACCGTTGTGTGTTTAGAATGGGAACTTTATCCCCAATTTCTCAACGGTCGAAAGAACAGTCTGGAAACACACACCGGCTGTTTGAAGAGAGGACACGTTTCGGTTTCTCATTGGTTAAATTTTCCTTTCCAATTATCTTGTTCGACTAGCAACATTTTATTGCACAAAGAAGCAAATTAAGTGTCCATTTTTCTGATGAAATGTCTTGTCTTATCTAGTGATTTCCAAGCAAAAGTAGTACTACTCCACTGGTTACAATCAATACAAATGACTAGTTTTTCTTAACGTTTAAATGATGTTTGTTCTTCTAAAGAAGAATCTACCTACTTCGTAGAGTACAACAAAAAATAAATAAGAAGAAAAAAAAAATAATCAAAAGGGTACCCTGAGCCTCCAAAAAATAAAATTTTCACCTATATATAATAAAACTAAGAAGAAAAAAAATAGCAGTCCGGTACACAAGGCATTTCGCGTTCACGCAGGGTCCGGAGAAGGGTCGTACCATAAGGTATATAATGTAGACAATCTATCCTAATGCAAGTATTAATAACTGCTTTTACGACTCAAACCTGTAACTTATAAGTCGCACGAAGATAATTTTACGGTGCTTCAAGCTTTCCTTTCCCCCATATAATCAAACTATAAGCTCATTTTCCTAATTCATGAGTTTTAGGGTTTGTTATGGCATACTATAGAGTTGGAGGAAATAGTAGTATTTTGGGGGATAAAGATTGGAATAAATTGTGGGGTTGGAGTGGCAATACATGCTAGCTGTCTACCACACGAGTCTATTGATTTGTCCATTCGATGATGGTCTCTGTCTTAAATAAAAAGATAATTATTTGAAGATTCTAAGCTTTTTTAAATGACTTTTACAAGTATTTTTCAAATATTTTCAAATAAACATCGTAAATTATACATACTTCTATGGTACTTCTTGATATGTGAATATTCACTGTGTTGATTAATTTACATGACCAGCAAAGTATTTCTCTTAATGATTTCTTTAACTCTACTTGATATTCTTAAAAAATATAAGAAACGGATCTTTAAATCTCTTATCGTTTTGGTTTTGTTATACTTTAAACTCAACATTCTTCATGTAGTTTATATAGATTTTGTAACTTTGCAGCATCAAGAATGTTGTGCTGGCTTAACCCTAACAAAATATTAGCACCCTGATAAACAACATTATTAATTTAAAAAAATTTGAATTCAACCCAAGCAAAGAAATATTGTTTGTTTAAATTTATCTTTCAATATAATAATACTCTTACACCTTGGCGGAATTAATCCTTGCCATCATTTCAACAAAATTATACATTATACTATATTAACCAAGTTTTCGTATAATCATTGTGAGACAGATAGTACACTAATTAATTTTATTAAAATGATCGGCTTTGGACTTTGCAGCTAAAGAGCAGGCTTATCATTAATGATTGATCAAAGTACAAAGACACATTAAAATATGTTCGATTTATGAGTTAATACAATCAATATCATTCCTCGTGGGGTGCTACAGTATAATTAGGACGGTTAGACATAAGGACGAGAACATGCGTCCCCAACCGGTTAAAACTTACTCGCACCGGGTGTTTACACCAAACCAATAGATATATGATATGTGTGACTGTGTGTTTCATATGGACTTCAATCATTTAACCATGGTAAATTACATGCATTCTCATCTAATTAAATTAATTAACCATCACGTGAGTTAATATAGTTTGGTGTAAAAGACAGTACTGTTTAAGAGTCCTTTCAACTACTCTAATAAACATTAAATGATTTGCTTATATATTAGTATAATATATACACTGGCATAAAAAAGGTTTTGCATTATTGGTGTATAATTTAACTCGTTATATCAAGTTAACATTAAATTTTCAGATAATTTATTTTGTTTTAAAGAGTTACATTTTATTCCATGTAGCTTAACATATATAATAATTTAAAAACATTATATATCGGTGCACAAAATTTAAGTCAGGATAGATAGTATTTGTTTACCCTTAAAATGAGTAATAATTGAATTTATTCGCGGTTTAAAAGATATGTGATTTAATTTAACACGAATGATCTAAGAACAATAAATAATTGAATTAAAGGAAAACAAAGCGATCAAACTAGACACGATGGATGATTAACTCTAACTTTATAAAAGATGTTGGAAATTAGTTCGGATTCGGCCCTCGGAACGGGTTCGGTTGCAACTCAACAAACAAACAGTCGAACAACACTTTGAACAATAGCTAGAGAACGTACAAAAATTAACTTTATTGTCTTGGTATGCGTGCCAACAGCCGTCTTTAAAACATAAAAGTTCTCCTCTTTATATAGTTGGAGAGTTTCAATCCTAGTACAAGTGTAAATAAGGTAATAATCTTTTTCTTCCTGTAAACGTTGATATGCAGTTGATATCGAGCGAGATACGCGCCGTAGTATCCGGTTAAGGGCGGATATTTCATTAGGGGTGTGCATTCGATTTATCGATTCGATTTTGACCCTTATCGATAATTACTACTTATCGATTATCGATTTGTACATATGCTTATCGTTATCGTTTCAATATTCGATTTTTTCGATTTCGATTTATCGATTTTTGGGGCTTATCGATTCGGTTATCGATTACACCAATAAAAAAATTTGCGGGATTTCACGGAAAGTATATCGCTATAAACACGCCTAACTAATATGGACAAAAAGAAGCAAAAATAAGACGAACATCGTTTATGACATAAAAATTGTGTCAACAAGCACATGCAACGAAACTAAAGTAAGGGATCAAATGTATGCCACCAACACTCCAACGGTAAAAAAAAAATACATCATCACGGCTAATTTTGTTTTCCATTAATTTGAACTTCATTCCCTTGAGCTTTAAATATGATCATTCCTTAAATGTGGTAGAGGAAATAATAGGGTTAGGGACTTAGGGTAAAGGAAAGGGTATTATAGAATAAGGGTAAAAAAAAAAAAATTTGTCTTTTTAGTATATCTTATCGGTTTATCGATAAACCGATAACCGAAGAGGACAAAATCGAAATCGATAATTCGATAAGAAAAATTTCGAAATCGATAAATCGATAAACCGATATCGATAAACCGATAACAAATAATCGATTCGATTTATCGATAAACTGATTCGAATGCACACCCCTATATTTCATCCCCTTGATTGCCTTGTCTAACCGTCTATCCCTTAGCCTTGGTTCATCACTCTGCTTGGGCTTAATGCTTGGCCGTATTCGGTTCCGAGCGCACCATTCTTACTCCCCGGGCTCTGGTCCGTAGAAGCCTTCAGCTTTACCCGAGGCCATATCGGGTCGGGCTGTCCTCTCATTTCCTTACCGGAAAATCAGGGGTAACTTTTATCCACGATTTTACTCGTATACAGTATTTATTGTCTATTTCACTATGTTGATACTAAAAAGGGAATTTTCCCCTGAATTTCATGATCTTGAAATAGGAGTTTATCCTGTTATTTTATTTTAGATCATTAGGGGTGCAAAAGGAAGTTAAGAACTTAGAAAAGTAGAAACAGAATCTCTGTAACTCAATCTCATACTTAAGTTCTAAGCATGAAATCTTCAAGTCAAAAATTTGTAAAATTCTTTCCAAGGACTCAAATATTCCTTTCACTTCAAGTGAAAATTGGGAAAGTGGATAACAAGTTTCAGTTGAGCTTGAGAGTTTCAACTGTCTCATATAATTCTTTCAGCCAAAGAAGAATCATTTTAACTTTAAGAATAGGTTACTTTTATTTCAAAACTATCATTTATCTATGAACTGAAGATCTTCTATGAAAAATCAAATAAATTCATGAACTTACTTATACTACAGTCTACATGTATACTTTATAGTTGCGACTACAAAAACAATAATTTTGGCAAACACATGTTTAGCCATAGATTTTGCCTACATTTTGACAAAATTTCAAATCCCAAAACTAGCTATATCACCATTACATTTTTTAAAAATTGCTCCAAACCTTTGTATTTTATAAAAGAGCCCACCATTTATTATTTTGTAATAATGTTGTTTCGTCTTCTCAGTCATCTGGTAGTGTATCATGTAGTTCATTATAAAAATGATAATTTTGTACCAAATTTATTTATATTCAGGACTATGGTTTGCGATAATATAATGAATGTTATTGATAATGGTACTGCTAAGTATTTGTGATAGTTTTTAGAATTTGTGTGTATAAGTCATGTTTCATGTTTTTCCAAAATAAATTTGGAAAATATGATTTGAAAACTGATGTCCAAATACATTTTCATCCTTAAATCAAACTTCACCCAAATCAGATTTTTCAAAATAAATTTAGAAATCTATAGCCAAACGCTAGCTAAATATTAGTTGCAGTAATATGCTTCTACTAGAATCTATTAGAGGGTGCAATTTACACTTTCAAAAATGTTTATCTTTCTACTATTCCAAAAAAAAAAATCCAAAAAAAAAAAAAGAAAAGAGAAAAGGAAAGGAAGTTGAAGAAAAAGACGTATAACGGCTAGAAGAGGAGTAAATATGAGGCAATTGGGCTAAATTGACAGGCTGAGAGAAGCAAAGACAAAGAAGCCCCACACAACAACGCAATACAGCCCAAACAGATGATTAACATTTGATCTATCACATGGTCTCGCTGTATATGGTCCCACCATTCAAACACATTATATTCCAACACAATTATCATAACAACATGTTTTTTTTTTTCTTTCTCCTTATTTTTTTCGAAAATTTGTGCTTTTAGTCCTTGAATTATCATTAAATTCTTATTTTAATTCTTCTGATATTTCAGTAACAATCCGTCATAAACAAATTAGGGTTTTTTATTCATCATAAAATTAACTAGTTTTATGCCAATTATCATGTTAAGCAATCTTCAATTAATCAAATTATTCATTCTGCTTGTGAATACCTACAAATTTAATAAATTATTAATTACTATTAAACTATTGCGTGCACGCAAGATGTTAGTGAATAATCGCCTAGACAGAAGGTAGGGTTGCTTCCTTCCTATCGCGTCCTTCCTTATATGTCGGAGATATAAAGCGAATGCACCAAAAAAGAACCAACAAAACCTTCTTATCATTCAATCACCTAATAATAAACGAAAAAAGGAGTTTTGATGACATGAAAATTGTGCATACCATTTGTGTTATGTTATGTTAACTTTATACAAATCCTTCATATTGAGGATAATATAGTTCTAAGTATGATCTAAATATAACATATTTTATTTGTAAACTGATGAGAAAAATTCACAGTTGAATTAATTGAAAGTCAAATTTATTTAGTAAAATATCACTAGGATTAAAATCAGAATTTATCAATAGTTGAAGGATCAAGAGTGTAATTATTCCTTTTTTTTGTTTTCTTTCAAATACAAAATTCTATTCCCATAGTACCCTTATCTTATCCATAAATCCTCTGCTCCTTTCTCAATAAAAGCTCACCAAACCCCATCACCTTCTCTCATACAAACTCAGTTTAATTCATCTTCTTCAACTGATCAGAAAATCAGAAGAAAAAAAAAATGTCAAAGGACGTGATAGAAGAAGGACAAGTTCATCAACAGCATGGGAAGGATTACGTGGACCCACCACCAGCTCCTTTGCTTGATTTTGCAGAACTCAAGCTCTGGTCTTTTTACAGAGCTCTTATTGCTGAGTTCATAGCTACTCTTCTTTTCCTTTACGTTACTGTTGCCACTGTAATTGGTCATAAGAAGTTGAATGGTGCTGATAAATGTGATGGGGTTGGTATTCTTGGTATTTCTTGGGCTTTTGGTGGCATGATTTTCGTTCTTGTTTACTGCACTGCTGGTATCTCTGGTAAATTTACTACCCTTAACTCTTTTTCGAGACGGATCTAGAATTTTAAGTTAGTTATATATGAGTGTAACCTATCATATTTCCCTCTTCTTTTGCGTTTTATACGGTAGTGTTTGATTGGATATGAAATATAAGAAAGATACCTTAGAACTTGTTATCTTAAATATGTATAGAGTAACATTTTAGCATGATATTTGGAGTAACAAGAAAAACTTAAAAGGTAAAATAGCCTCTAAATATAGAAACTACATAAAATGTACCGTTTATAATTCAAAATAGTTGAAAGTTTTTTGTACGAATGGTAGCCTTGACTTAACTCACTAAATTGTTGCCATTTGACGAGGAGGTCACGGGCAGTGGAAGTATCTATGACTGCGTACAATAGACCCTTGTGATCCGGCTCTTACTCAGACTTCGCGTATAGGTCGAGCACAGTGGCGGAGCCAGAATCTTCACGAAGGTGGTTAAAAAAAATTTTTTTAGCTAGTGGGAATAGAACCCATGACCTTACGTAAATCTTGAACCCCCTTGACCACTAAACTACACTTTTGGATTGTGTTAAGGGTGTTCAAAACTTAATATATAGAGGTAAAAAACAGATTTTGCCTTATATATACGGTGTAATTTTTCGGCGAAGGGCGTTCACCCCACTAAATACGCCCCTGCTCGAGCATAGTAAAGCAGGCTGCCCTTTGTTGTATGAAAAAATTATTTGACTCTCCAAATAATAATAGCGACATATGAAGTGAAACAAAGCGAGTACTTAATTATGTCTGCAATAATTTATATGCATTTTTTGAAAATTCTTGTTTATGTATACTTAATTATGTGTTCCAGTTAAATGGAAAAGAACTAACTTTTGTGTTTTTTTCTTCTTTTTTTTTGTGTGTTGCAGGTGGACACATTAACCCAGCAGTGACATTTGGGTTGTTCTTAGCAAGAAAAGTGTCATTATTAAGAGCAGTGGGATATATTATTGCACAATCTTTAGGTGCAATTTGTGGAGTTGGTTTAGTGAAAGGTTTCATGAAACATTACTACAACACATTAGGTGGTGGTGCTAATTTTGTGCAACCTGGTTATAACAAGGGCACAGCTTTAGGTGCTGAGATTATTGGAACTTTTGTTCTTGTTTACACTGTTTTCTCTGCTACTGACCCTAAAAGAAGTGCTCGTGACTCCCATGTCCCTGTAAGTAGTTTATCTATTGCTAATTTTGTTTTGTTCAAGTAAATATGATACAAAACTATGAAAGGATATCCGTTGTACTAAGGTTCCGCTTCGCGCGGGATCTATTGTATGCATCTTTACCCTGTATTTCTGCATGAAGCTGTTTTCCACGGCTCTAACCTGTGACCTCCTGAATGCATTGAGGCTGGATACAAAATTATGGTTACTAATATTGGGTATTTTAATTTTGTTGGATGTTAAAAGGTGTTGGCTCCACTGCCAATTGGTTTTGCTGTTTTCATGGTTCATTTGGCTACTATTCCTATTACTGGAACTGGTATTAACCCTGCTAGGAGTTTTGGAGCTGCTGTTATTTACAACACTGAAAAAATCTGGGATGACCAAGTAAGTTCTTTCTTAAATAATTATAGGAAATGTATTTTTGAGTATTAAAGATTAATAATAATGTTGTTTATAATTGTGATTGCAGTGGATATTTTGGGTTGGACCATTTGTGGGAGCATTGGTAGCAGCAGTATATCACCAGTATATCTTGAGAGGTTCAGCTATTAAGGCATTGGGTTCTTTCCGCAGCAACCCCACCAACTAAAACAACCAGAAAAGAGAAAAGAACAGGAAAAAGAATTGCATTCATCTGTCCAAATTATCTTTGTTTATTTATTTGATTCTATGTGTGTAAGAGGAATCTATGGAACTCTCCCTTTTACTTTTTATGTATTGCTTATAATAGTTTAATCCTTAATGTTAGCCTTGGATGTGTATTTATTTGTATGAGTAGAGTTGGTGATGTTTTCCTTTTAATCTCTTATGAATCTTGGACTTAGATCCTCCCTCATCTCCCTCTCTTCTCTCCACGTTATAATTTCCTTGCCGCATTAGTAGCGACCTGCACAAATGGTGTTATGTCAGTTCCTCTATCTCCGTGATGGACCTAGTGATATTGAATTTTATGTATAAATGTGAAGTACCAACGGTTAGACGATAAGATCTCATGACCTTAATTATAATTTTACAGTGATGACCATAATCGAATGTGCATGACAAGTAGCAGGTGATGACACACAAGGATGGATCTTGAAAAACCACTCTATATTTAGAGTAATTATTCATAATTAGTAACATTGGTAATTTAAAAAATAAGATGAATAATTTTGGAAGTGAAATTGCACTAACAATGTAGGATGACTTTGTATTTCATTCATTTTGGGCACTTTATCTTTTTCTTGATTATTGCAGCCAACGACATACATGTTGCCACGTGTCTCCACTAAGAAATGCAGATGCTTTTTCTATGTTGTGGCTTTGTGGTGGTCCCTACTCCTCTAGGGTTTTCTGGAAAGGTCTGAAAATTATTGCAGGACTGGCATGGCAAGTGCTTGGCCTTTTTGGGTCTTTGAAGAGCAGCAGTAGGTCTAAGAGAAAAGGCAAAGCAAGCAAAAGAGTAATAAGAAGGTGTAAAAATTGACTCCATTATGTAGAAAAGAAAAAAGAGGTGTAATTATGTATGGAATTTTGAAATGACAAGAGAATGGACAAAAGCCACTCTGGAATGAATACACATGTCATGTGAGGTGAGGGGTCAGGGATGATGACCCCCCAATATCATTTGGCCTCATATGGAAAGAGCAACAGCAATGGAAAAAGAAATCAATATCCGCCCAAGTTTTATTGTTTGCCTCGTACAATTAACATTAGTGGTGTGAAATTCCTTTTTGTCTCACAAATTTGTGGACTTTAATTATGGGGAAAAGATAGGAGTACCTATAAAGGTGAAACTATTTACCCTGCCCTGCCCATTAAAGAATTCTACCCACTAAATAATTACAATCTCCTACCCATTTAATAAATAAACGGGAATATCAAAATAACTACCCACGCTTAATGCCCTACGTATAAAAACGCAAAAGCCGCTCAAAATTTCAGAAATCAGCGCACAAAATTGAGATTTCCACCGACATTCCCTAATTTGAAGATCACTAAGTATGAAAAAAAAGATCGAAGATGCTGATTCGCATCTTCTTTTCAGATTTTGATTTCGCTGTTGTCTTCAGATTTTGATTTCGCCGTTGTTTTGATTTTGATTTCGGAGCTTAACTTCTGAATTTTAGCTGAAAATTCTAATCTAGGTTTGGAGATCTGGAGATCTAGATGTTTGATTTCGAAAAATCTGTTGCAGCTATATACTGTTGAAATTTCGAACACTGTTGATTTCGAACACTGTTGAAATTTGCATTGTTGAGATTCAATTTTGGACATAAAAGTGATTATAACTTCAGAATCATGGAAAATATTCCAATTCTGCTGCAGCATAGTGGAGAATGGGATGATAACAATAATTTCATAAATTTTCATGTTGATGCAATTCTAATAAAGACCTATTGGAAATTTGAACAACTTCTCAGAAAAATTGCAAAGCAACTGCAAAAGGACAGTAAAACAATAATTATTCAGTATGCTATTGCTCAAGGATATCCACCAATTACAATTTGCAGCGATATGAGTGTTAGTGTTTACATGGAATTGAAAAAATCAAGTGCAGGGATGACAACACTTCCCCTGTGTGTGTCGTTTGCTAAAAACACTATAGCTGCAAGCACCTCCAGTTTCGATGGTGCTCCAATTTCATCAGAAATTGCAGAATTTGAAAGCACTGATATGATTACTACGTTTGATGTGCAAGAAGGAGATGACGCCATTCTAGAACTTGATGATGCAAACATCATAACTGATCACTTTCATCAAAATGTTGAAAAAGGACAAATTTACGAAGACAAGAACCTGCTGGCTCTCGTTATGAAACAGTATGCAGTTAGAGAAAAATATCAATATCGGGTTCATAAATCATGCCCAAGAACGTTCGTCTGCATGTTTTCAAGTAAAAAACTATGTGATACATATATAGTATATAAGTATGCTAAATCAGTATACTATGCGAGTATGGAATTGTATTGGTTTGTCTGTGTTTTTTATCAGTGATACTGGTATAGTATATAAGTATGCTATATCAGTATACTATGCGAGTATATAACTGTATTGGTTTGTCTTTGTTATTATCAGTAAAACATAATACCAATATAGTATATATGTATGCTAAATCAGTATACTATGTGAGTATAGAATTGTGCTGCTTTGTCTATATTTTTTATCAGCAAAATATGATACTGATACAGTATATAAGTATACTAACAGAGTATACCATGTGAGTATATAATTGTACGGATTTTTGCGTGTGTTTTTTATCAATAGAACATGATACATAACTGTATTTGTATTATAAACAGGTATATCCTTGAATGCGTGGATGAAGGATGCACTTGGAGACTTAAAGCATCAAGCCTGCGAGCATCAGATCTTTTCAAAGTGACGGATTTCAATTCTGTCCACAATTGTTTAACTGATAAGAGATTTTGTTCACAAAAGCAAGCTGTCTCAGCTTTTATTGCAGCTGCGGTACAAGATAAATGTCACAACCCAAAACCCCGCACTAGTCGTGATGGCGCCTCTCGTGAAGACAAGGCCAGCCAACTAACCCAAATAGTCCCTTTCAAAGTAGTTAAACATAAATGAATAGCAAAATACGACTTAAGGACATTAATTAACGAAGTTTACAACCTAACACAGCCCGACCGGGGTGTCACAAGTCACGAGCATCTAGAGAAGTCTAAATACAACTACAGGGTCAACAATATACGGAATAAAATTTAGAACCAAAGGAAGTAATCCGGTGCCGCGAACGCTGGCGGTCACTCTGCTCAGCTACGATAGCAATACCTTCAACCAGCTCAAAACCCTTTACCGGGTGAACAATACCTGCATCTGCACGCGAGGTGCAGGGAGTAAAATGAGTACTCCAACTCAGTGAGTAATAAAAGTAAACAATAACTGAGCAGCAAGAAATCACGTAAAGCAACCAACATGCTATACAGAAGCCGGGTGCAATTTTCTGAGAAAAACAGTGAAATCTATGAAATCTTTAGAAATACCTTGGCTCAGTTCAAATCTCTTTTAAAAATGATCTTTTCAGTGATTACGAAAACGATTTCAAAACAGTTAGTGCTGATACGCACAGAAAATCCGCCCCTCGGGCACAAATACCACGGTATAACAGGTAAAGAGGCAAATAAGTATGCAAGATGAGCACATAAAAGTTCGCCCCTCGGGCAATATCTCAAAACAGTACCGGCCCCTCGGGCATGATTTATGTTCCTGGTCAGTCATTGTTACCTGACCGGTCAGCCACTGTTACCTGACCAAAATGCGTATTACAATGCCATTGTTACCACTGGTAAGTCATTGTTACCTGACTGGTCAGTCATTGTTACCTGACCAAAACGCGTATTACAGTGCCATTGTTACCACTGGTCAGTGCCATTGTTACCACTGGTCAGTCATTGTTACCTGACCAAAACGCGTACAACAGTGCCATTGTTACCACTGTCTAACATTTATCCGCTCTAGATGGGTACCCGCGCTCACTGTGNCCAGAAGTCTGCCCGCATATGATATTCTAGTTTTTAATTTTCTTAACTTTTCACTGAGATTAAGTTATATCAAGTCAAAACTAAAAGAAAACAAAATCAGTTGAAATAACAAGTAAAAAGAAATTAAAACAAACAAAAAGAAACAAGAAAAACGCAATTCCAAAAAAATAAATTTTTTTACTAAAGATAAGTTGTGAGTAGAGAAAATTTTTACTTGTTGAACCGAAAACCATATATACACCAACAGATATCCAAAGAGACATCCAAAAAGCATATGGTATGGACTTAAGCTACATGCAAGCATGGAGATCAAAAGAAAAAGCAATGCAATTATTGAGACGATCACCAAGTGAGTCATACAAGAAAATGCCAACATATCTTTATATGTTAGAGTACGCTAACCCAGGATCAGTGACACGACTACACACTGAAGGAGATGGGAGCTTCTTGTATGCATTCATAGCTATATATGATCGATTAGAGGATGGGTCTACTGTAGGCCAACAGTTGTAGTTGATGGAAGTTTTTTAAAGTCAACATATAGAGGGACCATACTCACGGCTTCCACGCAAGACGCAGAGGGTAAGAATACAATCCAATTACATTCAGTTAAAGAAACAAAAAAATATTTTCAAATATTATATGATACCAGTATGGTATACAAGTATACCTTAAGAGTATATAGTTGTTTTGCCACACACCTGCACCTACCTATGACTATACTACTATATGAAATACTAAATTAATATTTTGTGTACAATCCAATTACATTAAGTTAAAGAAACAAAAAATATTTTCAAATATTATATGATACCAGTATGGTATACAAGTATACCAACAGAGTATATAGTTGTTTTGCTACACACCTGCACCTACCTATGACTATACTACTATATGAAATGCTAAATTAATATAGTGTGTTGTAATTGATATTTTGTTCTTTGGATTCACAGGACAAATTCTACCCCTCGCATATGCAATTGTTGATTCGAAAAATGATGCATCGTGGGAATGGTTCTTCGTGCAGTTCAGAGAAACCTATGGACAAAGAGAGGGAATGTGCATTGTATCAGACAGGCATGATGCTATATGGAAAGCAACTTCAATTGTCTATCCAGAAGTCCCTCATTGTGCATGTATGTTCCATCTGTGGAACAACGTAAAGACAAACTTCAGGAAGAGCCAAAAACAAATCAAAGAAGTATATTTTGCGTTAGCAAGAGCATACACTGTTGAAGAATTCAACATGCATATGGCAGAGTTAGAAGCTATTGATAGTAGAGTGAAAACATATCTGATGGATATTGGATATGATAAATGGTCCCGGGCGCATTCCAAGGCAAATAGAACCA